AATTTAAAATTTATGTGATTATTTAACAAACGCGCATAGAAATTCGTAGATAAAGCTTTTACTCTCTTTTAGTATGCGGTCAGCTTTTAAAAAAATTTGCAAGGACACAAATAATCGTGGGGTGATCTTTAATCAGCGAGAGTCGATGGTATTTGCCATTTGAATAGACATTGATGCATTTTTATGCACATATATACATAAATATATTAGCTTGATATTATAATTTTCTTATACGTAAGATCACGAGTTTAGTTAGAGTAAACGTATAATTGGAGCGATCGGTAAATAAATTTATCAAAATATCTTTTTTCGTAAAAGCTCCTACTACCGTTATAGATTAATAGGTAATAATTGCTCGAGTCTATGCATAGTTTTATAATAGAGCAGTGCGTAAATTACTATTTACCTTTATCGAATTCATAAATAGTATACCACCAGTACTTCCTAATCCGCCAAATGTTAAATTGCATTCATGCGAGCACCTTTTGTATAATTTTATAAAGATATAAAAGTTAAAAGCCTTGCACGATAAGAAATATGTAATATACTTAACACTTTGCTGCTCAAGATAAGACTCTTGCACATGTTCTCTTTGGCTTGCAATTGCTATGACTTCTTTTAACCTTATTGTTAATCTCTTGTTTTATGATTATTTTCAATAACATAGTCTATTTAATTATCAATATATTTTTAAAACATATCATACTTTTTTCTTTCTTTCTTCTTTTTTTTTTTTTTAATTTGCTAATTATTTATCAGCGCGATAGCACAGCGTTTTTAATGTAGTAATTATTTTTTAATTTAATTGTAAATAACGAAGCATAAAAGAAATACTTTTTCAGTTAAAATTTTGCCTCCTATTCGTATAATATTTACAAAATATGATATTATGCACGATAGAGAATTAAAAATACAAAATACATAATAATTCATAAATATTGCATAAGTAATCGTGTATATAATTTTATAAATCATCCCGTCAATTGTATTTATTTATATATATATATATATATATATATATATACTTATGATTATTAGATATTAATAATTTTTTATGACAATAATTTAATCAATTTAAACAACTAAATAAGATACGTAGATATTATGGCTAAAGTATATTACTTTAACTCGTGGTTAATCATAAAACACTAATAATGGATATTGACAATTGATATACTGTTTAACTATCTGCAAAATATTTATAAAATATTAGCGAAAGAGCCAATGGTAATAGAAATTTGTTTGAGTAAGCATTTACATATACGGGTTTGAAAAGTTTTTGCTGAATAATTTTGAAGTATTTAGGAGACATTAGGAGAAATAATTAATTGGATGATGTGTATTACGAGAGAGAAGAAAGGACGTTTTTATAAGTTTCGGGATTATTTATATTCGTGTATTATTATTATTATAATATTAGCATATTATATAGAGCGATAAAAATTTTTTTTTTTAATTAAACATTGAAATTTAAGGTAGTTATGGACAAAACAATATCATTAATAAAGAGAAAATGAAAGAAAATATGATTTTGGCTTTTGAAATTAAATTTAATATAAAATGACTTTCTTTCAAATGATTGTTCTCCCTAAAGTATAAATTTATTTGAAATTCCAGTGTCAATTGTCATCAATCGTAGCGATAATAATTGGCCATTTATTATGCAATTAAAAAAATGTAAATATTAACAATATAAAAATCGTTAAAGCGATATATACTTTTATAAATGAGAAGAAGAGCATAATAAATTTCTAAATTGGCCCCTTCGCATAACTTGCCACAAAAATGTTTACAACCAATAATGCATTTCAAGCTTTTGTACGTTTACGATGCAAACCAGAGTGTCCAATTATATAAACATCGATGATTCAAGCTCTAAGTATTTCGTGTAAAATGCCATGCCAATTCGTTAATGAGAAGCTCATCGATTCCGCTCATCCATATCGTTTTTCAGAGCACTTGGCGTTCAGAGCACTAATGTACTTGTTCCTTTTTTCCTGGCTAACCGAGTAATCGCGCATTCTCACGCATTAATTTAACAATACATAAATATTTCGCTAAATCTGAGACGTTCGTGAAATATCATTGAAACACGCGCGGCTGTTATTATAATTGTTTAGCAGTTCGATATTCCTCGATCGCTAACATCTTTCTAACTCTGAAATAAATCGATCGCCCACCACATATCGTTCCTTATTATTTCCCCATTAAAGCCAGCAATTAATTGCAAGTAATTGCACTGGTATAGTCGCCGATGCCGTGTTCGAATGCTTGAAATTGACTTTTCTCTAAATTATCTCAAGCCTCGCCTCGAGTACGGTAAAGTCCTTGTTAATTAATGTAATCTGACGCACGCGCCATCCATGCTCATCCAAAGAAGAAAACAAAAAACAAACAGCAATAAAACAAGAAAACAAGAAAACAAAATAATGATTAAAGCATTTGTAAAGCGTACGGGGATTAATGCACCGGACGTAACTGTACCGACGCACTCTTTCACATAATGCGATAATGTATTCCAGGTAGTCCGTGCGCGGGAGAAAGCTCGCCGGCTTAATACGAGAGCGACTAAGCCGCGTGCGTAGCCTTCGAAATTTACAGCTGCGCCGATGCCCCAGGCCATTCATTCGGCGCATATTCTTAATATCGGCATTGCCAGTGCCACGGTACCGCCGACGACGTAGGGCCCGACGCACGACAACAGCTAGCCTAATCTAACTCCCCCGGGGCTCCGTGACTTTTGCACGCGCGGTCGCACGTGCTTACTTCAATCGAGCCTCGATCGTCGCAATGTCGTCGCAATGTCGTCGAAATGTCGTCAATGTCGCTTGCTCAACCGTTATTCCATCTGCCCTTCGTTTAATCATTCTCATCCGCGACAGTGAAGTCGCTTAGGAGCCGAGTTTTACTCGTACTCACCGATGCGCGCTACGTTTTTTTATTCGACGTGGGGACAGTCTTTATTCGCTCTCTTTATTTATACGGCGTTATTATCGTAGTTTTGTTTTGTTTTGTTTTTGTTTGTTTTTTTGTTTGTTTGTTTGTTTTGTTTTGTTTTGTTTTGGCTACGATTGGATTTCGCGGCGAGTGGCGACGTGAAAGAGCGATTTTATAGGAGTGCGTAATTATGGGGCGGGGGGCGGTGAGGATGTTGTTGGGGACGGGGGATGGGGGTGGGGGAGATAAGCTGTAAAAATGTACAGTCGTCTTTTTTTCTTTTTTCCAGCACCGTGACGAATGATTTCTTGGTGGGGTGCTTTGTATGTACAATTTTAAGACACTTTGACTTTACATATCTAACTTCCGGATAATCCGCGACGGCAATTGTTCACGCGCTAACAATGCAATCGTAAATAGACTATTAATATTGGAAAATTTTTAATATCTCGTATTATCGATGTTGTATCTGGAACGATGGTGGATGTAAGATGTAATTAAGTGGTACGTAATGTAGGATGTACATTATTTTTATAGACGCATAAATATTTGCCATTCATTTAGTTAAAAATTTAATGAAATATTTCGATTAAAAAAACTACAGATTTATCATTATCAAATACAACGAGCGATGGTATATTAAATAAAATGAGAATAATAAGAGTAAAGTATTAAAATAACGAGATAATACAGGCATTAGGTATTATAATTGAATTAGCTATTTATCCAATAAAATGATTGTTAATTTAATGAGAGATAGCAAAAGTTTGATCGAAAAATCATTTTCTGATCAACTCATTTGCATGCAATGATTTTCCAACGCAATTATTGACGAACTTTAGAATTAAAAGCTTAAGAGTGCACCAATCCTTTATATATATCCTCGTTAGACATAATTTATTTGGGAAATTATGACTTAAGCCAATGGATGACGAAAAGCGATGGAATTAACTGTTTTAGCGTATGGAATTTTTCACTTACGATTATATTTCAGTTAAATATTCGAGTTGAATTTTTATGTATTATCGCAATTGTTTGATCGATGAACGCGAATGGTTTAATCATTGAAATGATCTTAGCAAATCGTCTCAAGCGATACTTTAATTATCTAATTGGCCTAACGATCTCAAAGCACTTTGTGCCCTACCGAATTTGAAAATGATCGATCGTCGATATAAACTCTGATAATCACTATAAAATATTTCCTAATTTTGTTTTTACTCCTTTAGTCCGCTGTGTGCATTCGCCTACGCTTTCACAATAAAATTCTTAGCTCGAGCTGTTAAATGCCGAAAGAATCCGTTGCTCGAATAATTTCATTTGCCAACGTTTGCAATATTATTATTATCGACATAAAGTCCGTAAATACTAGAATAGCGTACTACTCAAGATGCGCGATACTCTCGTAAAAGCGCATCTCGAGCGGAGAAGGCGTTCCCGTGACCCAAGCCTGGGATCACTTTTCGCGGTCTCGCATCTACCAAAGAAGAAGAAGAAGAAGAAGAAGAAGAAGAAGAAGAAGAAGAAGAAGACGAATATGAAGACGAAGAAGAAGAAGAAGAAGACGAATATGAAGACGAATATGAAGACGAATATGAAGAAGAATAAGAAGACGAATACGAAGACGAATATGAAGACGAATATGAAGAAGAAGAAGAAGAAGAAGAAGACTCGCGGAAGCAAAGTGGCCATCAGTGATAAGGAGACGAGGAGTCGACTGCGCAGCTTGATCGGATCGACTCCTATCGGCCGGTAATCGCGAGGAGTCACGGGGGCCCTGAGATTTCGGGGGCGGTCGCGCAGCCCCGGCGGGCCTTACCCGCAACGGATACGCCTCTGCTCCGTGGCTCGGTCGGTATCGCAATCGGGAGCCAGGGCGCGGCGTGGGCGCCCGCCCGTAAAGGGATTCCGCAAAGGTAAACAGGGCAGCGGAGGCTGGGGCAAGGAGGTAGCGGTGGAAAAAGTCGGTGCCGGCAGGCCGGGGCGGGAGGGAAAGCCAGTGCGGCAGCCTTTGGGGCCCGTAGTAGGGGAAGCCGGGAGAACGGTCATTGCCACCACCTCACCTCGGCGGCGCTCCTCCTCCTGGTCGGCGCGCACTAAAGTCGCGCGTAGTTTCCGAAAGCACGTTGGCCAAGAGCGTGGAATGCCGTCGGTGCGGCTGCTCTTGGCAGTCTAGATCGCCAGCCGAGGTACTGAAAGAGATAGAGAGAGAGAGAGAGTAAGTGACAGAGATAGTAAGAGAGAGAGAGAGAGAGAGAGAGAGAGAGAGCACGTGAAAGGAGGGGAGGAAGGGAGGAAGGATACGGTGAGATGCGCCGCGAGTATCCCGCTGTCAATACAGGGACTCGAGCACCATCGAGGCCAGAGTGAGAGACGCGCGGCTGCTAGTCGCGGTTTACCCTCCTCGTCGCACCCTCGCGCCGTTTCGTATTTCCCGCGGCAAGGGGCCACGTGGGAGGCACCAGGTGCGCCGCGGACTTCGACGGCTCGATCACCAGGATGAGCATCCTGGGCTACGAGAGCTGAGGACCAGCCGGATCGCTACACCCCGCCGATCAGCTCCCGAGCGTCGAGGTGAGTTTGCTCATCGAGTCCTTTAGCGGGTCGAAGGACCGCTTGGTCGCACTTGCCGTCTATTCCTCGTTTAAATTGCGAACGAACGCTTTACGGCTCGTGCTTTGCAAGCTCTCGTATTCCCCATCCTCGTTCCATCCCCCGGCCCCCGCTCCCACACGGAATTTCGCTCGACGAGCTTCGAGTGTCGACGCGCCTTTATCCCTGTCATTTATTTCGTGCACTGCTGCGTTGCTCTAATCGAGTATCTCGGATGATACGTAGTAAAGGACATGTTTTTCACCGTCCTCCCGCTACTTACTTGGGCTCGTAATAACAAGGGCCGCTACTCGCGCAATTAACAATTTACTCTCGCTTTATTGATTCGGCAAAATAAGAATGTACGCCTCGCGTCGTTTTAACGCGGTGCTTTAAAAATGCTTCGATTGTATGTAATTTAAGTACTCTTGAAGTTTTTGTGCATCAATGAAAATTGATAGCTTAAATACGCTTATTATTAACGATCCTTATATTATTAACAATTATTCGTGCGGCTACGTGTATCCGACCAATAACCATTGAACATTACCAAACATTACCAACATTACAATCACATTGTCGATTATGTAACTTTATTTATAGCAACTAATTCCAATTTATTTATCAACTGCTATTAAATATTTACCGAACTTTGATTTATCGAATGCCACGTCGTTGATTCGCAAAATCTTTTTCGATTAACATGCTGCACTAAATTATCCATAAGCATCATCATCTTATCTGAATTATGAAAAAATCCAATAAATACGTTAACAATCGCTAAAGTGAGCAAGTCGATCGACTATTCTTCATCTTTCTCCTCGTTTGACTTCAAATAAATTATCGATAAACTTCATATCGACATTGCTGAATTATAAGCGCGGATCGATTAATAATTTGCTGCGGTTTAAATTTTAAATTTCATTCCTTATGTTACGATGGCTAATTCGTTGCCACGGCGTCCCGCGACTCGCACAATCTTTCCATAAACTTCTTACAAAAAGCTATTAGCTATTTTGAGAAAATTTCTCTTAATGCAATGCGACAATTGTCACATTAAAGTCTATGAAATTCTCGAAAAGTCAGCTCTCGCCTTAGCTTTTGCTTTCTACAAAAAATTAGCGATCGACGGAGCTTCAGCAGACTCGCAATAAGACAATTTAAACAAGAATTTGGAAGTTTGGCTTTGCATTATAAATGCATTCACGACAACGCGAAAAACTTTAAAGAATCTTATCTGGTAACTAGTCGTGTTGTATGTTGCATACGATGTCCCCTGGAGGGTAAGTGATTTCTTCTTTTTATGTTTCAAAGAATTTTTAGTCTCTTCTCGGCTACAGCCAATTATTACGGTATAACCCGACATCTTCCTCACCCAGCCAATCCTCGATCATTAAATATGACTTTCGCTCAATTTTGCCGTATATCCCAATGTCGTTTAGTCTTCAAAGTCAAATGTCACGCCCATCGTACAACGATTCCCAATTAACATAGAGCGACTGCGAAATCGCAGTTGCTTAGTCGCAACCATAGGGCCCAATTAGAGTCCAGAGTCACCCTCTCATCCAAGTTGATCGTAGGCCCGTGCAAAAAAAGCGCTGCCCCCTGATCTAGCGCATAGTAGGATAAAGGGCAGGGGCCTTTGGCCTTTAGCCTCTCGTCGAAAAGCCGTGAAAAACGAAAGGACCCGGCTCGGCATTAATGATGGCTAGCCGAGACTACGTAATACCGGGTGTGAAGTACGGGAAATGAATTTTCCCTTCGTGCTCGAGCGAAGACGAAAACGTCGTCTCGAAACGAACGTGCTCGAAGGCCCGCCCATACGTACGTAAGATATACAAAGAGAGAGAGAGAGAGAGAGAGAGAGAGAGAGAGAGAGAGAGAGATGAGAGATGTGAGAGATGAGAGATGAGAGAAGAGAGAGATGAGAGAGATGAGAGAAGAGAGAGATGAGAGAGAAGAGAGATGTGAGAGATGAGAGATGAGAGAAGAGAGAGAAGAGAGATGTGAGAGATGAGAGAGAGAGAGAGAGAGAGAGAGAGAGAGGCGAGCACCTAGTTTTTCGCAGCTGGGTTGTAAGGTCTTTGGCGCCGCTTGTGCGTGATCTCACGAGCCGCCGGTGTACCGTAAACGTATCGCGTAAAGCGGAAAGTTTGTGTGTCGGGCTTAACTCGTACGATCCAGCAAGGAGTAGCGGTACTTACGAAACGACGGCGCACACCTCATCGCCTCGTCCCTGTCGTACACGTCGAATCGACTTTCACGGATTGAACGAGGCGACCCGATCGCCTGCCGCGCAACAGTCTCATCTACTTCCTACCTTACGTCCTTTATTAGCGCTGCTCGCGCCGCGAAATTCAATATCGCCGAGCTCACGGCCAATGCCCTACTATTCGCCGATCCGCGTAAATGACCTTACGGCTCGATAAGTCGTCCTGCGAGCCTCGCGCCACTCAACTTGTACTTGTGCGCGTATCTCGGGGCACTACTATTGTTCGCCTTGCACGTCCTTCGAAAATACGCGGTGCTGCCTCTTCGCCGCCACTGAATTAATCCTTCGTGTGTAAAAGCGAGAGCCGCACACGGGATCATCAAAGAGGCCTTCCAGTGAGTCGTATTTAGCGCACTTTTCATCTCTTTTTTTGCATCTTCTTCTTCTTCTTCTTCATCTTCCTATTCTTCTTCTTCTTCATCTTCGTCCTCGTTTTCTCCTGTCTCTTTCTCTTTCGTTTATTATTCAAATAAATTCCTCTTCTCAACGTAACAATACAGGCTTTAGAGCTTTCTAATTGCCGCATTGGTATTCGTAATAGCTCTTTAAGCTCGTCGTGTA